TCCAAATATTGAGAAAATCATCTTTAAAGTTGTCCAAATTAAGTTCTTAGCAATGCATATTACTAATCAGAAATTAAGTTTTGATATATTTACGGTAGGACATTTACAAAATATCTTCATGGAACATGATCTTTACTTAATATCCTAATGATGGCATAAAAGATAAATAATAAGATAATTTTGACCCATACAATGTATTGTTGGCTATTGCTACAAATATACCCCAGCGACTTAACACTGCTTTTGTGCTCCAGGGACACATATACAATTTGTAATAATTATAGCAATAAAACAATTACATTTTTGATGGAAAAAAATCTTGATTAAAATTTTAAGTGATCTTTACTATAATATTTCCTATACCTTAATAAAAAGAGTACAATATGACACTTTTAAGGGCCAGTGTCTGTAAAGTTGTATACCTCATTAAATTATACAGAAAGAGGTTTTCTAGTTGAGATGCAGAGCTGTGTCCTGCTCTCTGACAGTGGACAGGAGTCAGATTTGTGTAAGAAAGCGATGTGTGTTCTTACCTTGCTGTAGTAGAGAATGTGACAAACATCTCTAATAATGTTGGGAAGCTCGACTATCTTCTCTCTGCACTCCTCGAACTGAGCAGCGACGCTATAGCACCTACAGACGTGCCCGCACACCTGAAGAACACCCACAATACACACAAAATCACACTCGGAGCTCACTGTATTCACTCTTTACTCGTGTGGCTGTGCTGATGTGCTGATGTACCTGCACTGCCATGTCCTCCGGTCTGCTGGAGGCGGTGAGCACAGACACGCAGCGAGACAGAGCCTCCATCAGCACCTGACACACAACACACAAGCCTCATCAACACTCAGCAGACAGTGAAGAGCCACAGTGTGACTGCTGCTGGTAATGTCAACACATGCAGACCTCGATGCCGTTCTCCCGCCGCAGCTCCTCCGCATTCAGCGCTGAACAGTTGACGGTGTGGAAGGCCAGCTCAGCAGCAGCCGGTAACAGAGCCGAGGTCTTGGAGAACAGCTGCCCGTCACCCGTCTCCATGTTGATGGTCTTAATTAGCATGGGGTAGCCGGCGTATTTATACGGCTCCAGTTCTGAGGAGAGAGAGAAGAGATCAGTCTCTGAGCGTCTGGAGATCAGGAGCTGTGTCTGAGAGGAGCGTGTCGTCTAACCCTGCTTGTGTCTGTTGAACAGGATGCTCTGGGCTTTGAGGATCAGGATGATGTTCTCTGGGTCAGGACCGTCCACAATACGGGCCGATTTGGTGCACAGAAACTCGTAGGCCTTGTTGACCTTCTCAAACATGTCCTGAACACACACACACAGCGAGACTGGTTAGAGTTTATTATTCATTCACTAATAATGAGACACAGTGTTGCTGTACGTACCCTGCCCTCCGGATTCTTGTCTGGATGGTATTTCTGGGCCAATCTGAAATACGCTTTCCTTATCTTACTCTCATCATGCCTTTAAAAGCACACACACAAATCATCAAAGGACAAAGATTACAGTTAATAAGCACTATTCTCAGATGCTACAGTGTTAAAGAACATGTTTGTTGTTGGAATACAATAAATGCTAACATAAAAAATACTCACCTAGTCAACACGGCAATTTTTGTCATTTTCATTTAGTTTAATTTGATGTACTAACATAACTAAAACTGAAATAAAAATTAATAAAAACTATATAGACATTTAAAAACAACAAAAATGAATACAAATGTTTAAGCCAAACTGAAAGCAGAAAGTATAAAATAAAATCTAATTCAAAATATTAACAAAACCTATAATAGTATCTCAAGGATACTAATAACACAGGTTTACCCATCTAAAATCTCTTTAATTTTCAGAGAAACAAAGGAAAAAAGTAAAATATCTTTTAAAAATATATTTTAGTTCATTTTTAGATTTTTTTTTATAACTGAAACATTACTTTAGGTATTAGTTTGAGTATTTAGAATTCATAAAGACAAATTCAAGTGGAACAAAACACATATGAACCATAAAAATACACACAGAAATATAAAAACGCCTCTAGATCCACAGAAGTCTAGATGTTCGCCTCATCTCACTTCTCAATTTCAATTACTTTAACTTAATGTACTAAAATAACTAAAATTGAAATAAATTAATAGAAACTGTGTATATAACTAATAAAAAAAATGACAAACAAAAACAACAAAATTACTAAAACTTTACCTAAAATTAAAAATATGTAATTTAAATCATTTAAACCTTTTTGTTTGTTTTTTTAAAATACAGTTTCAATTTTTGGTGTTTAGTGTTCATCAAGACAAATTCAAGTGGTACGAAACCCATAAATCCTGGACCCACAGCACAGGAGTTCTAGAGCGAGGAACGAGAAGCTGACCTCATCTCACTGCTCCAGATGGCTTCAGGCGTGTCAAACTCTCCCAAGAATATCTCGGAGAAGCGCTCGGCCTCGTAGTTCTCCAGGTAACACACCATGGCCTCCGGCAGCATCGAGCCCAACACGCTCCTCTGAACGATGTCCTGACCTTTAGCCTGCGGGTCAAACACAGACAACACAGATCAAACCTGCTCAGATTTACTGTGCTATTCATCTACAGATGCACATATCTGCAGCTTTACCTCCTCTGATTTAAAGGCCTGCTTCAGGTGAGTGTATTTCAAGAACCTACAGAGAAGAACATATTTACGCATATGGCAAGCTATCAGAAACATAAATGTAATTTCTCTGCAGCACATCATCAGGATTGAAACTGCACTGCTAGAGGACACAGAGCTGAGTTTTCTGGCCTGAGATGCAGGGAGAGTACCGTGCCACGGGCAGCACATTGGAGCCGGTGTACATCATGATGAAGAAGAAGACTCCGGTGAGGTAGAGCCGCTGCAGGTTAGGGTTGTCCTGCATCACCAGGTACAGCAGGTTAGCTACTTTCTCCACCAGGATGGGGTCAAAGGTCAAGAGCAGCTGAAGGACAGGAGAAGGAACACTGGAGTCAAGCTGATGAACCCAGACTTTATAAACACTGTTTTACACAGAGCTAGTGATGTGTACCTGGACGATGTGCGGCAGGCAGGTGCTGTCGCTGATGAGTCTCTTCACCTTTGGTAAAGGCCTGATAATGGCATTATCTTGGTCCCTAAACACACAAACACAGTGAGCATTATTATTTAGAAGACAGAAAAAAACGCATGTTTAAACATATTTCAACGCATGAAGATGTCTGCTGATTTGCTGCTCAAGAAACATTTCTGATTATTATCAATGTTGAACACAGTCGTGCTGCACAATATTTTTGTGTAAACTGTGATACATTTTATTTTTCAGGATTCACAGATGAATAGAAAGTTCAAAAGAACAGCATTTATTTGAAATAGAAATCTTTTGTAACATTATAAATGTCTTTTCTGTCACTTCTGATCAGTTTAATGCATCCTCGATGAATGAAGTGTTAATGTATTTAAAACAAATGTATATTTTGAGCACACACCTGCAGTGGGACAGTGGCTCTGTTGGTGTGAAGGTGAGCGAGGGTGAGCAGATCCACTAGTATACGCACTCCATTAGAGTCCATCGTATCCTTCACATTTTTCTGTTTGAACAGGAATAGCAAAATCATAAGTGTTTCCAAGACACGCGCGTCTCACGGTGTATGTGGAGGGCCTGACATGTCACTCACCTTGTTGAGGATGAGTTTGTTGAGGAAGAGGATGAGTCTGTCTCTCTCCAGCTTGTCTGTACACTGGAGACATACAGCAGCAAAACATGAGATTACAACACACTGGTTCTAGTGACGTATGATTCAGAGAAGGACTGATGCGCCATAACATCAGGAACCGCAGCAGTTTTAACTTCAAGCCATGTGCTTTCAGTTCTGCGATCTAGCGCTGGACACTGACCCGGTCCAGCATGCCCACGATGTACTTGGTGTCAGCAAACGGTCCGATCTCCTCGCAGCACTTCCCGTAGACGATGGTGAGCGCCTGCAGACACAAACACTTCATGGCCACTTTAGGAGTCAGCAGGAAGCGATGGTAGAGCTCGTTAAAGAACTCGTACCTAGAGAACAACACAGACGGATGATCAGGATACTGCTAACGAGATGCACACGGTTCAGCGTCTGTGTTCAGAAACCTACGATCTCTTGATGGCTCCAGACTCCTCGCTCTCATCCTCCTCCAGCAGCAGACGCAGGTAATAATCCCCGATCTTGATCTCGTCAGAGAGGCACTCGTACTTCACCTGAACACAACCCAACAGACTTCAGATGCTTTTGAATGAGCAGAACTCGCTGTGATTCTCAGGCTATATACTACTGTTGTCAACAATACAGAAGTTTAAAAATAAGGCCTTGTTTTACAATACTTATTGGTAAGGAATTTTCTCTGTTTCTGTCTTAGAGTTAATATTTTTATTATTATTAGAGGTGTAGCGGTACACAAACGTGCATACCTCGGTTTTGACGTCACAGTTTGGTATGGTTTCGGTACAGCAGGAGGAAAAAACTAAACATTATTGCTTCTTTTTACTTAAACAATGGTTTACTGAACAAATTGTGCTTTATTTAAATAAATTCAATCATAATTAAAATTTTCTTAGGGATAAAAATCTACCTCAGCTTCTGCTCTGAACTATAGGGAGCCCTTTTACATTACTATAAGGTTACAATTAACAACAGCCCAAGCTTAAATTCAGTTACTATTTATTTTTAACTATACTAATAAACACTCAAACACGTTTTTAAATGAACTTCTAAATTACACAATCTCTATTTGTTGTTGAAATATAATAATTTACAGAGAGGCTGTCATAACTTATGATTTATTTAAACATACAATAAATAATTAAGACATCACTAACAGGTAAAGTAAAATAATGAAGTATAGTCTAATATTTGTTCTTGAAATGCTCTTCACTAGACTAGAAAATATTTCTCTAGCAAATAACGAGCTGTGGCCACTGATGACTTGCCTGAGGTGAATTAATTGCTACGTGACATTTTGTTTACAAGTTGTTTTAATGACGTCTTTCCGCGGCTGAAACGCTAACTGAGTGATTATGTGAGGGGTGACATGTTCAATCATGTTTATTTCGTGTTAAAGCTAGTAATAAAGAGGAAGGGATGATCGCGCTCCACGCTGCCGTTAGAACCGAGGCGATCGACAAAATGACATTTATTGTCTGAATTTGCTGAAATAATGGAACGATTTGTTCGGTGCACTCCATACCGAAGCGCAAGATTTTCTAAATGCCCTCAATGTTGTGGCAGTTTTTCTCTGTGGTATCAAAACTGGTGTTAAATATCTGTATTTCTCAGCGTATCGTGTGGAGTTAGAACTCCCAGTATTGTGTTCAGACCGCTGCGGAGTCACTGATGTGAAGCGCAGACCTCGAACTCCTGGTGGTTCCAGGAGATGACGCTAGCGCTGCCGAGCTCGCGGTCCACACCGAAGGAGCGCATCTCTGCCTCCAGAGCGTCCCGCAGCTCCTCGCGCGTCTTCAGGTTCCAGATCAGGTTAGAGCGAGCGTGATCCAGCTGGAACCTGCACACAAGCACGAGCGTCACACACTCTGATAACACCACGCACAGAACTCACATTCATTAAAGCAGCTCGTTTACTTGTAGTAGAAAAGCTCCCAGTTGGACTCGATCTTGATCCGCTGCCGTCTCTTCCTCAGGATGACCGGCCTCTGGTTTGCGTTCTGCAATCAGTGACACAGAACGAATCAAGCGGCTCTCGGTCGATCTCTACAGCATGTTCTGCATTTTCTGAATATAACGCTGGTTTATGAGACAACTACATCTATTATGGGATGTAAGGATGCTGACGACACCAGAGCTGTGAAATGATCAACATGTGATATGAAAAAACTGAAGAGAGACATGATGCCAACTGATCTAATACAGTCAGTGTGCAACAGCTACGAGACAGCAGAACGAAAACACACGCGTGTTACATGAGACAGAGTGACTGACATGAGAAAGGGAGGAGCTAACAGAGAGAGAGGCTCTGATTGGATAAAACTACTCACCAGGTTATTCCTGTCCTGCTGCATTGATTGACAGCAGAAACCACAATAAGAGCCGATGGGGGGGCAGAGATAAGAGAGGTTATTGGTCCTGAGGTCAACCAATCACACTTTAACGAACACTGAGAATCTCAATGAAGCTGGCTTTTGGTGGCAGGAACGTGAATTTGCGTGATTGGAGGCTCAAGAGCGAAGAAACGATGATGATGATGATTGTGTAGCTCATGCTCATGACACCAAAGCTGTGCCTTCATCTGCAGCTCATGCTTCACAGCAACAAATCATAATTCAGCTTGGGTTTAAGATGGGGATTAGATGACATCAATAGATCCAAGATGGTGCAAGTAAGTTTTGTTCAACACTCTGATCAAGTTTAAGTGTTTATTATTGTTTTGGTGGAGATTTTCTTATCAATAACAGTCGATATTTAATTGTTCATGCACATTTCCACTGTTTTTACATTTAAATTACATTTGGTATCATCTAATGCTCACTTAAAGTTAGTCTTTAGAAAACACTAATAATTCAGTAACACAGCTCAATTAAATTTTTTGCAAATCTCAAAATTAATAATTTTTTTATCGTATATTATGTTGTGAGACTCATACGACGTGAAAATACATGATCAGCGTATCGGCAATAGCTAGAATTTCCTCCATTTGTATTTAGTTGAACCTTTTTTAGCTGTGAAATGAGGGGCAGTGCTATCAGATACAGAAACAGGCACAGTGATGGTCTGCAAATGTTTAGCTGGCTATGAGGATCATTAGATCATGTTTATTATTAGTAAAGACCAGAGACAGAAGATTAGAGAAACCCAACAGAGCCTGTATTGAAAGTTCATCACACATAAAAACACAAAGCATAAAGATGAGCTGTCTGAACAGCATCCAAACCAGACCAGCAACATGAGAAACCAGCAGATCCAGAAACAGCCCAGCTCCAGCAGCACTAGCTCAATAATAGGGATGCAACGATAGCAATCTCACAATACAATAATATCTAAGATAATAATAATAAGATATGAAGTCCACGATACGATATTTATTGCGATATTTAAAAAAAAAAAGACAAATGAAAAATGGGAAAAAAATTAACATTTTGTACATTTTAAAGTTAAATTCTTCTATCTAATGCACTTTAAGAGTTCAAAATTAAGAGCTGCAACCCATGTTCTTAACTAAGAAAACTGGAGTCAGAAGAAAGTCAGTGAATTGACTCGTACCTGAACTTTAAATGGGACTCAACTCTTTTTATTTGTGATGTAGTGTCTCAGTCTAAGTTACATTCACACTGGTATTTTAGGAAGCCAAACAAATTAGAATATGATAATAATAATAATAACAACAACAATGACAGTAATAGTCATATATTGTAAAACAATTGCACTGTAAAAAAAATGAAAATTTCATAGGTATATTTTTGCTTTACACTACAGTAGGGAAATTACAATACTTCTTTCCTAATTTCTACACTTGAAAGAGATATTTTGAATCTGGACTGCATTTAAACCGCTAGCTGTGAGAAATTCATATACTGCACTTTTGACGGAAACGGCAGCAGAGCTTTTATTCTGAAGGAAAACTCCCGCTTCAGTGAAAACATGCTTACAAAAATGCGTCTCACTACAAATCTAGTGAAACGCTGTCATCATCTGCCGTGAAAATAAAGCATAACTGGTGTCTGCTGCGTCCCCAATCGTGCGCTAAACTCACAGCACGTGAAATAAAGGAGTTGACTGCATTAATTCAGTGTGAACGAGCCGTTCTGAGACGCAGAAAACACCGGATCACGAGCTGATCGCATGAACGAAGTGTGTGCTTCGCTTTGAAACACACTTGATGAAGACATTGAGCATATTGTGTTTTCAGTTTTAGTTCATCTGACAGATACTGTGCCAAAGCATAATGACCCAAAACACAACTTTTAATGATAGAATAAGAAGTTTAAATATATTTGAAAAACTACACTTTTTGCCCGGAACAACTATCATACTATAGCATATCGTCATGTGACCACGATAATATCGAGACAGTTTTGCTATGGCGATATCATGATATTGATAATATCGTTGCATCCCATTCCCTACTCAATAACTCCTCGAGCAGCAGTAATAACAGCACTCACCTCCTTCTGAGCGATGCCCATCTTATCTCTCCAGTGCAGCAGCACGATGTCAGCCTTCTCTTTGGCGAACTTCTCCACCTCTTTAGCAGCTTTACCCGCGATACGCTGCCACTCCGGGACTTTATTCCTGCCAAACTGGTCCTGCAAAAAAAACTATCATTAATGGATTGATATGGATTAAAGGTTGAAATGGGTCCTACAGTCCAAATTCTAAATCTTGGAGTAGATTCTCCTTCTCAGACTCGACGCTCACGCGGGTTGCCAGATTGAGAACACGCAACAGGAACGAGCGTAGCTTACACTGTAAACAGATGAGTTGATTGATCTGTGTTTAATATTCCTCTGGTCATAGAGGTTTTTAGATGGATTGGACGCTGAGGCTTTCAGATCACGTAGAATCTGAGATCTCTAACCCAGTTCATTTGATGGCTTCCATGGCTGCAATATGCTGTGTTTTCCAAACCAGGGAGTCGAAACAGACCAAAACAAAAACAGACGTTCCGACACGGAACACGCATTTCAAAGTAACCAGCTACAGAAACAAGTATGTGAACTTGGCACGTTTCCTAAATATCTATAAACATATTATGGTATTTTTATGCTTAAATACAGACAGATTTTGGGCTGTTTAGCTGTTCCTATAGTTTTGTTTTTTTTGTTCACACTACTAGAAGGAAAATTTTTTATACGCATTTTTTAAATACACAAGTGTTTATTTTATTGCACTTTATCTATTTGCGTCTGTAGTCATCTTTAAAGAGTTTTTTTTTTCTTACATACACCAAACTTTAGAGTTTTATTGAGGGGTTTGTTTATATATCATTCACACTGATTTATACAACATGCATAAAATGTATTTGTTTTCTGTCTGTTGACTGTTTTTTGTATTTATGGAGTGATAAAAACAAGAATTACTGAGCCTGGCTTTATCCAATGTACCGATTTCTGTTCTAGAAATGTATGTAAATGAGAGCATATTTAATTTAATTGTCATACTTAAACAACATTTCAGAAATCCTGTAATGCATAAAATGTTTGCAATTCTTAATGTAATCAATAATTTGAATTCTGGTGAGATCTGTTAGTTAAATGTTTACTTTATTCATCCCATTGCTTTAAGAGGAGATGTGAGAGTGAGAGTGCTGGTGGCTCGTACCGTGGCGATCTTGACGTTGTCACGTATGTGCATTCTGTCCATGTCCTTCTCAGGCACGGGGTCAGAGCTGTCCAGATACGCCAGCAGACCGGTGGGCTAAAGGACAGACAATGATTGAGGATTTCAGTGTTGCTTCTAGAAGAAAAGCACTTGTGAATGTCCAGTCCGCTCACCAGGATCCTCTTGAGCAGGTTCAGGGCCGTGGAGTTTTCTGCGGTCCACAAACCCACCAGATGACGACTCAGCTGCCTGCGTGTGATAAACCCGTGATCAGGCCTGCGTTACAGTGTGAGATCATCAGTCTGAGCTGAACTGACCTGTTGGTGAGCATCCGCTGGTCAGCGCTGATGGTGAACATGGAGGTGTGCAGGTGTCTGGGTAGAGCTCCTTCACTCAAAGCCAGCTCCTGCATCTTACTAGCGATCTCCTTATCTCCCTCCTGACAGACGACACGCTCGGATCAGACACAGAGAGAAACACACAGACACGCTGCAGGAACAAGGGCAGGACTCACCTCAATGATGGCCTTCATGATCAGACCCGCGCCTTTGACGATGGCCATAGAGGGATGCTGTGAGAGAAGGACCAAATACACGACTGTTCAAAAGAAGAATTCATCAGGGACGCATTAAACTGATCAAAAGTGACAGTAAAGACATTTATAATGTTACAACTACAAGTGATTTCTGTTTCAAATAAATGCTGTTCTTTTGAACTTTATAGGGCGCTATGATTTCTGCGATGCGGAAAATCCAGTCATAAAAATGGAATTTACTGTATAACACGGAATGTCACGGAATTTGTCAAAGTTTGGATGAATTAATCAAAAGTAGGTCATTACACTTAAATTAAATTGCGATATGGACTAGTATCTGTAAATATTAAGCCGCAAAAAAGCTTTAAATATGAATCCGGCATGTTCTGCGTCTCTGTGTGAATGAATGGCGCAGACGCGTGGTTTTGTTTACTACACACACACTGAAGCACACGTGACGCTTGCCGTGATTTTAGCGTGTGCCATCTCTCTGAATGAGGACATAAATACATGAACAACATCTCCAGAACTGCTCTGAGAGTCACTGCATTTTACCCTTTCATTTGAGTAAAACTATCCTCATATCATACACACAGAAGCATAAAGGTATTCACAGCAACCTGTCAAAATAAAAGTTTGGTTTAACTGGAATAAACTGTGTCAGAAATATATTATTGTGCAATAGTAAAATGTACGTACTACTACTACTACTACTAATAATAATAAATTATTAAAAATTACACAATATTTCTCCCATGTTTTAATTTTAATAATATTAAAATTGTTTGTGTCATTAAAAAAGTTTGTTTTCATTTGATTAAAAGATCAATTAAATTACTGTTTTATGCCTTCATTTGATAACCAGAAAAATTAAAATATACAATACAGAATTTCTGGGGAAAAAAACAAACAAAACATTTAATAGGGCTATTGTAAAAATAAATTTTAATAAAATAAGTTGTTTTTATGCATTTATTTAATTAGACATTCTTAAACAGAATTTGGTAAAAATAAAACAGAACGTGAGAAAAAAATAAAACATTTCATAGGGCCCTAAAAATTAAATTTTTTTTGATTAATGAAATGTAATTTAACCATTAAAAAGGAGTCCAGAAAAATAAAAACGGAAAAAAAAAACGGAATCCAGAAAAAAAGAAAGAAAAAAAACCCGGAATTTGGAAAAAAATTAAACAGAATCTGGGAAAAAATAAAACGGATTTCATAGGGCCCTCGCTTTCTATTCATCTGTGAATCATGAAAAACATGCGTCACGCCGTTGTGGTTTCTCTTCAGTGCTTTAACAGTTTTCACTCCCAACTTCTCTCTAAACCTGCAACACGTCCATAAAGTAATTGTAAAAATAAAAATGTCATAAAAATTTATATAACATCATAGACCCAGAAAAATAAAATTAAATAAAAAAAGATGCCATTTCTGATAATCCATTCAATATTTGCATGTTCAATACAAATACCGAATGAATCGTAGATGTATAAATAGTGGACAGGAGCACAACTACTCAATTCATACATCTCAGTGACCCAGAAATAATGATATATGACAGAAAGATTACAGAGAGAGAGAGCAGGCGTAAAGCGTTTAAACAAAAGAGGAAACATACAATAGCAAAACAAATGAAGATTATCTTAAAATGGTTTCAGGAGCGCCAGGATGGCATTGCTGATCAGTTTCTCTTTGTTCTCTGAGAAAAGACCCTAGAAAAGGAGCGAGTAGAGGGATGGAGGTCATATGGAGTCAAACACACAGAAATAAAGCACAGTCGACAGACTCACGTCTTGAGTGACGGCGTGTATTACTCCACTGTAAGAGATGTTGGCGTTAAATCTGAACACTGCATCTGCAAAATTACAATCTACAAGAAAGAACAACAAACAGAACACAGTTACTCGAGTTTACAACCAATGGAAAAAAAAAAAACAGATTGGAAATGATTTTTTTTATCGGATGGATTCTTTACATTTCACACAAATTAATTAAACTCATATAAAGTAGTTCGTTTTTAGTATGTTTTCATTTTCAAACTTTTTAAATAACAATATAGATTCATCATATCTTCCATTTTTGGGGTCAGTAAGATTTTTTTAATGTTTCTGAAAGAAGTCTCTTCTGTTCACCGAGGCTGTGTTTATTTGATCACCTGAGGGTCGATCTGATCGATGCCTCCCGGCGTGACCTCCAAACACACGCTCCTCCGCGCGTCGCTCCAGTGATGCTTGAAGCAGTTATAGCGCTGAGGAAACACGAGCAGAGCTTCTTTAACACTCAGATCAACAAGGGCTTCAGAGAATAGGGCTGTATTTAATCTATTTAATTACGTGATCGACTGATTTATTATTTGCACATCAATTTGGGCTGAGAAATTACCCCCAAAAGTCAATTAACGTTGTGTTTTTGCACTCATATCTTGAATTTTAGGCTCATATAACTGCATTCTAATAGACTTCATCACGCAGTCAGTCGTCCTGCATCAGGATCATCAGTGTAAGATGACGGGGCACTGCGTTAAATGCATTAATCATTTTAACACTTAATTTATTCCAAATAGCACCAGTTTAGCTTGTTAAATCGACAGCTCTATTTTAAATGTTTGGTGGCTTGTAATAAAAAAAGCTCATATTTGTTTGTGTTTGTATGTAAAATACAAAGGTCTTTCTTTGATGGGACTGTACTCACTCTTCCGGTGATCTTCCCCTCTGAGAAGTCTGTCCTGAATCTCTGTGAAGAAGAGAGAGACTAATGATGATGTGTGATGAATGACCAGAGTCACATGACTTTAATAAAGCACGTCACGTCATCACACAACCGCGCAGTATTCCTCACCAGCGCTTCTGTTAGCAGCTCTGTGCGATGCTCAGTGGAAAACTTGAGCGTTTCGGACTTCTTCCCGCTGCCCTTACGGAAAGTGAGGTTGAACTCGGTGCCCTGGCCTTTCCCGACCGGAGCGATGCCACAGATATCACCGTAAGGCCACTGAGAGAGACAACATTACACTACATTCAGAACAGCTTCAGTGCTTAAAGACACGTTTACATCCGCTAGTGAGCGACACCTCGTGGTACTCGTTTGAATAACTATTATCATAAATAATAAAAATAATATGAAAACAACAAATATAATTGTCATCAATAATATAAAACAAAAGCACAATTATAATCATTAATAAATTCATCCCTATTATTATTATTATTATTATTATTATATGTTATGATTTATGTTTATAATATAATATTTAGAAATATAATACTGAAGATGACACATATGCACATATTGTACTTGCTCTGTTCAGCTGGTTCTGTAAGCACACACAGCTGCACATGTATTCTATGAGCAGACAGAAAAGCAGTACCTGGTTAGTCACTTCTAGTGTGGTGGGATTGTATGTGGTGATGCCGTGAGTTCCCACGGAGAAAACACGCTTGTACCTGCAGGAGCGCAAAAACAACCATTTCAAAACTCTGCACTCAATCATATGTTGCATATAATTTTCTTATATAACTTTTTTCAAAACTGGACCGCTATCTAATGCATTATGGTCTGTCTCGTAGAATAAAGCGAGACTTGTTGTAATCAGAGAGGGCCGCGACATCAGAAACCACACATGGTCAATAATGACACTGTTTTCTGTCTCTGTGTCCAAAAATGTTGCGCGCAGACGGTCTGGAAATAACGGCTGCAGTAATTAGACAGGAGCGTGTTTGTGAGAAAGAAGCATAAACGCAGAAGGTTGAAGTCCACAAACCCAGAACTCCTGTCACTGTGAGCCAATCACATCAGAGCAGCTCTTCTTCATCTGAAGGACATGCAGAAGAAGCACCACCGGCTAGTACATATACTAAAGTTTACTCGCCAGACGCACGCACGATGCGAGCTGTTTGTTTGCTTTTCCCTCTTTGGAAACGTCCCCATATAAATGTGCTCTCCATATCTTCAAAATCCATTGAGTGAAATATATACAATCCCTGATCTAGAGGACTGAGTGCACTTTATAAAATGACTGAAGTGATAAAAAAGTGGTCAAAAAAAATATACATTAATTGGCTTCAAAGTAGAAGCCTTTGTGTTTTTAAATTGAATCACTCAATGAACAATAAGGAGGAATAAATAGGGTTTTCACAGTCAATCCTTATGAAAAAAAAAATAATAATTCTCTAAGGCTTGATTATAAATGTGGTAAATAATCAAAGAGTGCTCGTCCATGGATAGTCTCACTAATTAATTGAGAAAGTAAATTAGAAATCAATTAAAGGAAGCCCTGGAAGATGATGATGCAGTCATCTCAGTCTATGAAATGACCAAAGCAAAACTTGCTAATTAAAACGAATGAAATTCATAATAAACACCAAGTTGTGTATAGTTTTGACAAAAGTGTTCCATTTTGCAAATGATCTGAAGTGTTGTGCTACTTTGGTGTAGGGTTGTGTTAATTGTGTGTAGTGTTTTGACAAACCGGGCCCTGTTTTCAAAATTGTGCTTAAGCAATCGTAAAAAACCGTAACTGGTTCAGAGGATGACCAGGTCATGTGCTCAAGCCTCAGAAAACACACAGCTGCCCTTATTACCTTACACAAACCAAACAATACACAAATAATAATGATATTTAAAAAAAGATGATTACAAAACTGAAAAACCAAGCTAAAACAAACTAGAGTAATAGTGGCTGCCCTGCGGGTTATTTTGTAAGGGTCACTCCCTCTGCTGTAATTTTGACATCTGACCACATTTACACTGACTTCTTCCCGTTTAAGCAGCACAGCATGATCTGAGCAAGAGAGCATCACTTCACATTAAACACATTAAACACTGAAGCAGTGCTCAGACTCATGATCAAACCGCTCAGCATTCATGCAATCCACGTTTCCACTGTGTGGAAAGACGCGAGACTCCAACTATACGCAATACATCACGAATAAATACATGTCAGTCATCATTTAATAGAGATATCGCCACATCAAACCGCTATAATAAATAAAACATGACTCTAATAATAACCAGTCTTACAGAAAGATCAGCACTGCAATCATAGTTTGTCAAGCGCCACAGCAGTGATGCGAGGCTCGACAGTGCTGTTATGTCTCGTGTTATGAGGTGTTGAAGTGTTGTTATGAGGTATTAAAGCGTTATGAGGTGTTTCGCTGTAAACCGCGGTGTGTTGGCGGTGAAGTCTCTGTCAGGCGGCGCTGGCCTCACCTCGCCTCACAGACGGAGCTTGCCGCTGTGCTTTACCGGGATCTGTGCTGTCAGAAGCAGCGGTCGCCGCCGTGCTTTACCGGGATCTGTGCTGTCAGAAGCGGCTCGGTTGCGTCCCTCGGCCCGTCGGCCTCCGTTACGCGCGGTGCTGCAGCTCAGTGATCCAGAACCGAACCGAAAGCGCTTCCCTCAGTCACAGCACTCAGGACGCCGCTATCTGCCTCCAGCGGAGCTCTGCGCATGCGCACGGCGCGAGTCTCATGCGCCTGTCAGCTGACAGCTCAGACCGGAAGTGCAGCGAGGAGCCGAGGGTTAAAGAGACAAACTACATTTATTTCTCTACGAGATGTCAAATTAAATCAGCCCTAAATCTATCAGCAGATTTAGACGACTTCACACATTTCAAAAAGAAAAAAATTATATTATTGTTTTGTTTGTTTTGTGTTTTTGTTTTTTGTAAAAAATTGTATATTTGTTTATGAAATGTATTTCAAATAAAAAAAAACCTGTTAAATTTGAACGAATTTATTATATGTATGTGCAGCCCTTTAATTAGAATAGTATATTTTATATGTAGTGACTATTGTACCCTTATTTTGATTTAGGTTTTTTGTTAAACTTCCTGTGAACTTACTGAATTGGTTTGTATTTTTTAATTCAATGAAGAAGAAGAAAATCAAATGGAAGGGGCAACACTGGGGATTGTTTTTATTATTATTAAAATGTCCTTATTTTGGTGAAATGCTGCAGCATCAAGACTCATAAACTGATGTAATATCAAAAAGAAATACATAAATACTAAATATTATATTTTGAACAGTCAGTACAAATTTGGCCAAACTGAGGTTCAGGAAACCTCCTGCACTCTGATCGCTCTAAATTATGATTATTATCAATAATCTGACCACAGTTTGACTGAGTCTGCCTGTTCCTCTTCCCCACTCCATCAGTAACATGAAGCAGTCATTTCATGTATGTTCATATTACACACACAGATAATATAACATTAATAATATACACACACTGATAATATAATGAAGTATGTTCATATATAAAAACGGTAGGGAAAAAGAATATTATTAATATGTGTAAAATATTATTAGGAAAATGTTTAGTTTATACTTTTTTTTACATGTTATAGTACTGGTAGATCATTTTAATCAATTATTTATTTATTTGAATATGTATGTTTATTTATTATTTAAATAAAATGTTACTTATTTATTTTTATTATTTTTTATTTAATCAAATTTAGTTCGTCAGCTTATTCCTTTTAAACTGTCTGAGATTGAGCTCTGATTCTCTTACAGTGAGTCTGATGCAGCCACACTATAATGTTAGAGCAAAAGCAAAAGCTCTGGAGCATCGGATGCAGGATGAGACAGAGATGTAAAGATATTTGTGTTGATGCACTGGCTTCAAGGAAATGTGTAAAGATGAAGCCCTGCAGCTCAGACAGTGCTGCTTGCCCAGCGATGCGTGTGAGAAACAGTGAGTGCTGCAGGGACATGAGAACAGAAAGCTCTCGCGGATGACTGCTGCTGCTGCTGCTTTTCTCTGAATAACACACACGTTCACTGCACTGCTCCAGAGAATTCACTCCACACTTATCAAACAAGAAAACCAAGACTTCTTGTAGATCACTGCTTCAGTGAAGAACACCAGCAGATCGCTGGATAATGCTGTTATATTAGACATCCATCTATCACACATGTGGAAAATATCAACTTATTGCTATAAACTGCTGGGAAAGACCTATTAACGTTCTGGTTGTGTGAAAACAGATCATATAAAGCGATTTAGCAGATAAAGCAAAGGGAAATCAGGTCCAGGAGCCACAGATGATGACTCTATGACTGTGATTGGTGATTTAATCTGATGTCTTCTCCCGCAACATCAGAGACTTCTTTCATAGAAAGAGCAAGTGTTTTCTCAGACTCTTCTTCTGCGCATGAGCTTTAGAGACGGGTGTTTTGCTGAAGATGAGACAGTAGTTCTCTCGTCTCGTGTTGGTCAGCAGCACCGTGTCATTTCTTGAGGTGTACCTGTTACAGGCGTAGAAATGCAGTCTGATTAGATTTAAATGTGGTTTTGCTGATATGACTCCATATGCTCTCAGGGCCTGTGCACAAACTCTTCTTCACTGCTGCAGCCTCTCAATCAGACCGATGGGAGTTTTCATCTAATTGTACAGCTCTTTCTTCAGTATCTTAAGTCTGTCTTTTCATGCGAAGGGCATCAGTGGACATGGACTCAGATTCTACGTGAGTTTGGTGATTTTTTTCCTTAATGCAACATTGAGGATTTTTTCCACGGCTGGATTTTCCATTCATAATCAGAAGCAGACGATTGAGCTGATGTTTGCTCTTGTTTTCTCTGGTGAGATGGAGCTGGACATATTAAACGCTCCTTGATCTGAGGCTGCGCAGATGACCTTCATAAACACGCATGATGCTCGACTTTACTGAAATGAGCAAACAATCTCTAAACTGTTGTCATGTTTGTCTTACATCTACTGGAACAGAACTTTGTATCATTGTCTGACTTATTATAGGCTTATTAATGTCAAAAACATGGGGTGGCCATGATGAAGATTGCCTGCTGATTTATTTGTTTGTTTGTTGGCAATGATTACTTTACCTAAAAAGATTCAGATTCTTTTTATTGGTCACCAACCCTTTAGCGAAGCACATTTTTATTAGTTTTCACAATTAATTGATGGTTACTTTATTTTGTTTTTGTAGCCAATTCTCAATGCATGCATTAAAACAGTATTAGCTAAAATAATTTGAAATAATATGCTTGAATATGAGTAGCCTGTGTGACGGTTCCTGTATCTCTGGATCTACAGTAAGAGTTGCAAGGGTATGGATAGTTTTCTTTTGTCAGTCTGTTTCCCAATAAATGTTTTGATTAATTAGCTTCAAACAGTGACTCGAGGGTGTGACCTGGACGCGAGAACTGGACTTATATCTGTCATATATCTATAGATTGAGTATAAATGCTGTCATCATTAGTACAAATCATTTTAGAAAGCTTCTAGATTATATTTGTAGACTTTTAGCTGATTATATGTCAAATGAATCTATTTTTTCAGCATGTATGATGTTTGCATGCCTGTAATTATTAATTTCTCTGTTAGTCTTCAGTAAACTCTTCAGATTGAGTGTTATTTGAATAAATTACATGTACAATTAAATAGTGTGTGATGAGTAATTATGAAGAGATCCTTAACGATCAGTAAAGATTCTGCAGTAATTGAGGTTAATTAAAGAGCTTGTGCAGGCACTTTCACAATTAGTGATCAATAAGTATCTGCAGTCACAATTTCACTATGACGAATCTCTTGATACTGCAGATATCACTCAATAACTATATTGTATATGTTTCTCACAAGCTGAACTGAATCATGTGAATAAATCACACGGTATGTAAAATAAATTATTCAGTGAAGAGACTAGCAAACAGAAAATCTCTTAAAGTAAAGTAACCATGTCAAGATCAGGTTAATAAACACAAGGTAAAGTAAATTCCTGCTCCTGTTCTTCTGTCAATATAAAACTCCCATGAGCCAAGAAAGGGATCCAGCTGAACTCAGCGAGACATGGCGATGACTGACAGAATATTTTGAAATGTAACATAAATTAAATTGAAAGCAAAAGCTTAAATTCTCTTTATAATTCTAACAGGACTGTTATTTCAAAATTCTTTCAGTTAACAGTGTGTCACAAGCTTCATCATTAAGATAACATCAGTAATGAATATAAGATAGAATTCATATAAATAGAAGGCAGTTCATCAGTAGGTGGTGTTAGATCATCGGTTTGCTTGATATGAGTCTGTCCTTGCTGCTGTTTAACAGGTCTGAGGTTTTGTGAGTGTGCTGCTGATGAAGAGTAAGCCTGAGGAACTCACCTGGGCTGCAGGTAGAGGGGGAACATCTGTCCGTCTGAGTCCGCTGCACATGAAGCCCGCTGTGGGACTGAAGGGTCACGTTATGAAGCATCTGATCCGGAGCTCAGCATGTGCTGCCTGTTATCCTAATGAAGTTACTGAGCTCTACAGCCGGAGAAAGAGCGCTTCTCCACGCTTCTCCAGACCAAAAACAAAACCCACATTCACAACAGCCTCCGACTGAACCTCAAGCTCTTTTATTATGCTCACGCTGGAGTCAGACCAGATCTCACTTCACACTGCAGACATCACTCTCCCGACCTAAAGATACTAAAGCAAGACTCGGAGTTACAAAGGAAAAGAACAGAGTAATATGATCACTATTTGGTCACGTCTCTTACAGTTCACAAAAAGCATGTTCTGTAACTACATTCTCATAGTGTTCGGTAGGAGAAACAGAGAGAAAAATACTTTGTATAGAACTTGGCTGCTTTTAAAACACTACTCATCAGTCAAAGTTTTCTGTCTTAGACTTCAGAACTAGTTCTGCATTAATAATATCATCTGTTCATGAAGAGACAGAGTCTGTAGGCCTCATTCATTCCTTCATCCAGATGTGTTTCCTTCGCTCTGTTTGTGATCCTCTCTCGCCCGCTGCTGTCCAAACCTGCTCTCTCTCTCTGTGTGAGAGAGAAACCACAGAACACATGCATCTGTCTCCAGCAGGAGCGCTTCACATCTCACAAACATCACTGTGAGTTTGAGTTCATGGTTCAACTTTGCACACGTCTCTCAAACACAAACCAGGAAATGAGTTTGCTGTTTCTGGAGAGAGAAAGTGAAAGTGAAGCGCTGCAGACGGTCTCTCTGTCTCTCTTTCACACAGACTCACACACGATGGCAGAAGCCAGCATTCCAGTGGATCAGGATCAGTTCATGTGTCCGGTGTGTTTGGATCTGCTGAAGGACCCAGTGACCACTGCCTGTGGACACAGTTACTGTAAGATCTGCATCACAGACTGCTGGGATCAGGAGGATCAGAAGGGAGTCTACAGCTGCCCTCAGTGCAGACAGAGCTTCGGCCCCAGGCCTGCTTTAGCTACCAATGTCCTGCTGGCAGAAATGCTGGAGAAACTGAAGAAGACCAGACTCCAAACCGCTGATAGTGACGCTGGATCTGGAGATGTGCAGTGTGACGTCTGCACTGAGACCAAACTCAAAGCTGTCAAGTCCTGTCTGGTGTGTCTGAACTCTTACTGTCAGAATCACCTCGAGCAACACCAGAGTTTCTTCAGAAGCAAGAAACACAAACTGACCGAAGCCACTGGACGACTGCAGGAGATGATCTGCACTAAACACGAAGAACCGCTGAAGCTCTACTGCAGAACCGACCAGCGCTGCATCTGTTATCCGTGTGTGATGGATGAACACAAGAACCATGAAACTGTGACGGCAGAAGCAGAGAGGAATGAGAAGCAGGTATGAGCTCAGTCACACTACACATCAGAATACGATTGATGGAGCAGTGTTCAAAGACCCTGTGAGTAAATCACTCCCACATTTTACAGCACGTGAACAGAAGTGTGTGTAATTTATTGCACAATAAATACTGAGCAATGGCTGGTTAACCTCCTCAAGATGAAGTCTGAAGTGCTGAGAAAGCATGTGAGCTCAGTCACACTACACATCAGAATACGATTGATGGAGCAGTGTTCAAAGACCCTGTGAGTAAATCACTCCCACATTTTACAGCAAGTGAACAGAAGTGTGTGTAATTTATTGCACAAATAAATACTGAGCAATGGCTGGTTAACCTCCTCAAGATGAAGTCTGAAGTGCTGAGAAAGCATGCGATTTAGATGAAATAGACTTCAGACACCGCAATGATTGTTTACACTTACCATAGAATAATATCTGAAAGTCTACTCCTATTATCAAACATCAGCTTAAATATTTTTTCAATATATTAATTGTAAGAAGAACTGAACAGTACACTACCCCCCCCCAAAAAAAGAAAAATATTGTAAAATAGATAAATTGCCCCCAAAATGCCTATACAGTATATTGCTAACAATAATTAATAATTTCCTCATACTATCTGCAACTTGTACGATAATGATGATGATTATTATTATTATAATCATATTTCTTTTTTATTTAACTCTAAACCCCTAATTTAGAGGAGATAAGAAATGTAAACAAATGTATTTCCCCTATGTACGCACATATATACATACATATTTATATGCATATATCTTTTACACTAGGTTTCTGTTTGTGTTTAAAGGGCTTTTTGTTTGCATTTCCTTGTTTTGCAGTTTTATTCCTGTTTCCTTTGTTCTAGTTTACAGTTTGTTGTTATAGTTACATATTGTCATCACTTGTGTCTTGTTTAGTTCCTCGTTTAATAATATGCCCTCAGTTCTCTTAGTTTGGTGTCTGGTATTGTCTTTGTTCAGCTGGTAAAGCTGTTCCATGTTTTTGGATCTTCTTCGTTTTGTTTGTGAATAAAGGTAATCAGCTGCATTTCATTTTATTACTGGTTTGTATAATATTGCTGATGTGTTCATGAATTTTGACAGAGGATTCTGAAAGAGACGCAAGTGAAATATCATGAGAGAATCCAGCAGAGAGATAAAGAGCTGGAGGAGCTGAGAGAGGCTGTGGAGTCTCATAAGGTGAGTCTGGAGAAGAAGAGAAGTTTGTCTCCGTCTCAGTTCAGACTCACTGAAGCCTGAATCACTGTGTGTCCTAACAGCGCTCTGCACAGACAGCAGTGGAGGACAGTGAGAGGATCTTTACTGAGCTCATCCGCTCCATTGAGAGAAGCCGCTCTGAGCTGATACGGCTGATCAGAGATCAGGAGAAGACTGCAGTGAGTCGAGCTGAAGGACGACTGGAGCGACTGGAGCAGGAGATCAATGATCTGAGGAGGAGAGACGCTGAGCTGGAGCAGCTGGAGCACACACAGGATCACATCCAGTTCCTGCAGGTGACACAGATCCTTACACGCAGACTGGAGCTTCAGCGTGTCTGGAAAACCTTCATTTCTTTCTTTGTGCCTGTTTGTGGCCCCTGAATATTTTGTTATGTAAATATCTGAACATGCAATATGCCAAAAGAAAGAACAGAGCCTCTTCTTTAATAAAAAGTTTTATTCCAGCTCAGTGCATACTTTTTTAATCAACACTTGAATGTGGGTACATTTCATTTAAAAAAAAAACATTTTGAACAAAAGTTGAGAAAATTGCATTGTTGTCAATAACTCTGTCTGGATCAGATTCAGATCGATGATCTAAACATAGATGGAGTCCATCGCTTCCATCAGCTGTGTATGGTTCTGGAAATTACTGGAGTATTTAAATTATTATTAGATGAGGCCTGGGCACAGAACAAATCACACAAGATTTGAAATTGGAAAAAATAAAAAAAAACCTATCATAAAAAACAAGCTTGTTGTGTGTTTTTCTCCTGCAGAGTTTCTCCGTCTCTCCTGAAACTGCAGAGCAGCCCAGCATCACCATCAGTCCTCACCTCTCTTTCAGTCATGTGGAGAAATCTGTTTCTAAACTGAAAGAAAAACTGGAGGAATTCTGCAAAGAAGAGATTGAACAGATATCTGGCAGAGGTAATGTGTCACACCACACAGAAGAAACTATTAAATACAGTATGGAAGAGATTTATGTTTCACATGAGAATCACACTAATTATGTCTTTATGTTCACAGTATCATACAGTGAAATTATTCCCCTCAAAGAACTGAAGACCAGGCCAGAGTTCCTGCAGTGTAAGACACTACGAAACACACTAAAATTACTTCATGATTTTCATTTTGAAAAACTATAAAAAGCATCACACCCGAGTTCACAGTGTTATTAAAAAGACTGTAAACATATCAAAACTAAAGATGTATGTAATTAACAGAGTCCTGGAATGAACAATATGAAACATATGAAAAAGTATGTTTGTGGTAACTACATGAAATAAGTCTTGTTTATTTTATCTCCATCAGATTGCAGGTTTCTGACTCTGGATCCAAACACAGTGAATGAAGACATCCGTCTGTCTGAGGGAAACAGAGCAGCTACTTACACTGAAACAGTCCAGTCGTATCCTGATCATCCAGACAGATTTGATGATTATCTTCAGGTGTTGTGTAGAGAGAGTGTGTGTGGACGCTGTTACTGGGAGCTGCAGTGGAGTGGAGATAATGTGCGTATATCAGTGTCATATAAGAGCATCAGCAGGAAGGGATGGGGTACACTAAAATTACTTCATGATTTTCATTTTGAAAAACTATAAAAAGCATCACACCCGAGTTCACAGTGTTATTAAAAAGACTGTAAACATATCAAAACTAAAGATGTATGTAATTAACAGAGTCCTGGAATGAACAATATGAAACATATGAAAAAGTATGTTTGTGGTAACTACATGAAATAAGTCTTGTTTATTTTATCTCCATCAGATTGCAGGTTTCTGACTCTGGATCCAAACACAGTGAATGAAGACATCCGTCTGTCTGAGGGAAACAGAGCAGCTACTTACACTGAAACAGTCCAGTCGTATCCTGATCATCCAGACAGATTTGATGATTATCTTCAGGTGTTGTGTAGAGAGAGTGTGTGTGGACGCTGTTACTGGGAGCTGCAGTGGTGTGGAGATAATGTGCGTATAT